CAGTCAAACACTGACATGAATATATTCCAGGTTGAAACAGTAAACCACTGACATGAGTATATTCCAGAATAAAATAGTCAAATACTAACATGATGCTATACCAGGATGAAACAGTCAAACACTGACATAAGTCTATACTTGGTTGAAACAGTCAAACATCGACTGTATATGCCAGGATGAAACAGTCAAACACTGACAGTATATACCAGGAAGAAATAGTCAAACACTGACATGAGTATATACTTGGATGACATCAGTATATTGCTGGATAAAAGAGTCAAACACTGACATGAGTATTTTGCAGGCTGAACAGTCAAATACTGACAGGAATCTATACCTGGTTGAAACAGTCAAACACTGACTGTATATGCCAGGATGAAACAGTCAAAAACTGACATCAGTATATTGCAGGATGATATAATCAATAATCACGGTGTACCATATTGATTTCCCATGCATCTTTGACAAGAACGGAAAGCATAGATAATGTTCAGATAAACCCGATAAATCAGCCTAGATTATATCATTTTTTTAAATAGGCCCTCAAAACAATTTTATACCATTGTTGAACTCCACCTGGAGCCCCTTAGCAAAATGGCGAAGCACTATTTCATAACTGTCACTGATTCTAATGACGTCACAGCTGTGTTACATAAGCCGCCGTCGAGAACGGAGCGCATCATTATCTGGAAAGCCTGTCTCCCAGTTTACACCATCCGGATGTCACGTGATCTTTAAGTAGTGAACTCCATGCTCTGATTTAGAACTCGGATTTAGTCGCAGTGGTAATTACACGCGAAGTTAGAAAGTTAACCTCATCAGGAGCCATGTATTTGGATGACAACACACACTAGAAGCACTCTCTTGCCGACTATTTACAGACGCCATTACCAGCTGTTTACACATTAAAAAGGCATTTACACTTATTAAGGGTTCCAGTCTAAATTTTCTGGAAACAGGATGAGAACGTTGTAGCCGATATAGACGTGTCTTGTATACGCTCAGAAAAGATGCGGTGGGGTTGTCTGGTGGCTCGGTGAACACGTTGGACACCAGGGTTCGGTTCCGCAAACTTGAATGTGACAGGCGCACTCAAGATATCCCAACACCCTAAACACCATCTTTCCCAGGCCACGCTTCCATTACCAAGAGACCCGTAAAGATTCCGGGGTAGAATATGTCTTCAGCAACCCATGCTTGCCGTAAAAGGCGACTACGCTTGTCGTAAAATGCGACTAACGGGATCGGGTGGTCAGGTTCGCTGACTTGGCTGATGCATGTCATTGATCCCAATTGCGTGGATCGATGCTCTTGATATCAATCACTGGATTGTCTGGTCCAGACTCGATTATTTACAGACCGCCGTCATATAGCTGAGATATTGCTGAGTGTGGCGTTAAACAACAAACCAACCAACCAACAACCATTACCAAGATAGAGTGAGTATAGTTTGACGCCGCTCTTAGCGGTAATTGCTGCAATATGACGGCGGGGGACACCAGAAATGGGTGTCACACATTGCACCCATGTGGGGAATCGAACCCGGGTCTTCGGCGTGACGGGCGAACGCTTGAACCAATAAGCAATTCGTGCTGCCAGACAGGACCTATTTGAAGACGGGTTTCTTCACATACATTTCAAACATTGTCATGTCTCCCGATATCCAGGATTGTGTCTTTGAGCTTCAACCAAAACTGTCAGATCTTCGTCTGAGCCTCAGTGACAAGGAAAGACGTGTCTTGTCCGGCCATGCCGCCCTCAGCACAGACAAAAGAGATGGTGAGACCTGTTGTTAATGCACACAGTGATACCATTTCAGTAAATCAAAGCGTGCTCTGATCCAATTTTCTGGGCACAGGATTCAGGAGCTTCTGTGATCGTCCGTGCCCTCCACGCCGTCTCCGCCTCAGCTGGACAAGATAGCGGACGAGACAATGGGACCATCTATCTGTGTGACAAGCCCTCTCTCGCCCAAACACTTCAAGCTGTAAGTGCGACACGAGAGATTCGCCTCCTTAGCGTTTTAAATAGCTGCAACCAACTCGTGCTTGCGGCCCTTTCGTCGTTCCTCTGGTTTGCTTTTGTAATGAAGTGAAATGTTGCCTCAATATTGACAAGCCATTCTCGGTGAAGCTTTCACAGACGGGAAAATGGCCACTGCCTGTCAGATTTGTATTCTTCACGCGTTGAATGATAGAGATAAAATACAGCGATAATCTCAAATTTAATTTGCTCCCAGTCCATGGTACACGCTATAAGGATGTATATAGAGATAGCCCGGTATTATTTACATTGCTGTTTTAGGCGTTTCATCATTTGCGCTTGGTGTGTTATTGAATGAAATTATCAGGAAATTTAAACAGACAGTTTCCGATTAAGGTCGTCTTTGCAAGATTGAAAGTATATGCCGGACTCATTGTTAGGAAGCTTAAGTGCACAGTTCCCATTACTCAAAAGCTTCGTAAGTGAAGACCGTATAACATGGCTTGTGCACAAACTCAAGATAATGCTTGGGGGAAACGTTGGCCTGAAGAGATTGATTAAGTAGCGGAAATAGGTGTAGATCACATACACCATACACCTATTTCACCCTATCACTCTAACGATATCGCCATGAAGGAGTATGGTGGTATAATATGGCTGCATAATTCATGAATGTACTACCCTATGGGTCGGACTTCCCAATGCTTTATGCTTGATGCCGCTGACGGCATGAAAGGCAGATCGAACTCCTTGGCGACTCATTCCGACCGATGTCACAGCCACGACAATTTTTGCGTGCTTAGATTATCGTTACTAATCCGAGCGTTAAGATCGCTTTGTGAAAGTGAGACCTGTGTTAGATTTCTCCTTGAAAAAAGATGTCAACAACTTGAAGGTCAAGGTCATCTATCAGAACCCTAAAAAAGAACTTAAAAACTCCGTTGCTTTGTGCAGCATGTTTTACGCTGTAAACAAATAATTGGGCAAATTGTCCCGTGATATGTGCGCATGCGTAACGTCCTTGATTTCGAGAATTAACAGGGGGACACGTCTATTTGGTTTGGACAATATATGACAGAGCAAACTCCCCTGCTGGTCATGATGAAGCAATTTTACTTCACAAACAGACTTCAGGTAGCCGCTATTCGATTTTTATCACTCTCCTACCCAGAGTTCCAAGCGGGCGGCAGCCAGCAGGCATAGTACCTCTGCCACAGGCCAGCGCCATGTGACGATTCGTCACATCTTTCATGATCACAGTCGTGCATATGCTTTTCATCCGTTTCATGTTTGACAAGTCTACACATTTTCATAAACAAATGTCAAAATATGGTTACGGTTCATTAAGAAAGTATCCTAACACGTGAAAATCTACTTGTTTTTGCGAAGCTATCCTTTGTTTAAATTGGTTGTACGGCTCCATGTGCAGTCATCGGAGAGCTAGTGATACGGTCACTTTGATGTATAAATATATATTGTCATGCAACTGTCGCAGTTGTAGTAGCATATCTATATAATTATGCAAAACAATATGTAAAGCGCCCCAAATACTTTCATTAGTTTGTTCTATACTGATTTCTGAAACAGCGCGTTTGTTTTTCAAACAGGAGAAAAGTCCAGTCACGTGATATGCAAACTAGCCTGTGGCAGTGGTGTTATTCTGAGTCACCACTGCGCCGGAGTGTGCGTTTTTATTCGACCTCCAGGACCAATGAATGCCACGTTTAGTGTTGTCCATAAAAGTAAGTTAAGAAAATAAAAGTTCGCACCAGCCATGTTGTGGGATGTAAGTTTAAAGCAATATCGACAAAATTGGTCCTACCTCCAACACCTATCCTTTTCTATTCTTGTTCGGGTAGCCTGTGTCTGCCTCCCCAATATATATATATATATATTGTGTGTGTGTGTGTGTGTGTGTGTGTGTGTGTGTGTGTGTGTGTGTGTGTGTGTGGATCGATGTTCATGATGTCAATCACTGGATTGTCTGGTCCAGACTCGACTATGTATGGGGACAGCCGTGCTATAGCTTGAATATTGCTGTGCGGCGTTAAACAATAACCACACAACGCCAAATGGAATTTGTTTCGACAGGTAATCGAGGCTGGCTATTCTCCGGCCTAGACATTTTGAATTTACCTCCATGTCTATGCATACATGTACAAAACTCAATTCCGTCAAGGATATAAAAAGGAATATGTGATAAATATATGTGTACATAAAGATACTAAACGAACATTAATGGGATTTTGAATGAAATGGACAGGAGCAGAGATAACACATCGGCACCGCCCCTAAATCTAATCGTAACTGTGTTTCCAACACCTGTTCTATTCAGGGTTTTAGGCACCCTGTGGGTATGCCAAGCTGATTGCCAAAACGAACCTCAGAGGCTTGTAATGTCCAATGCCACGAGAACCATGTGTGTGTGTGTGTGTGTGTGTGTGTGTGTGTGTGTGTGTGTGTGTGTGTGTGTGTGTGTGTGTGTGTGTGTCGCCCTGATTCTTCACAATGGCACATTATTTTCCAAGAGCCGAGATTTACTTGTGTACAGTGGCACATATTTCAAGAAATTCAGGAAATAATTATACGACACGATTTGTTCACCTAGATATGTCAGTTGTATTTTCAGTTCTTCTACCTGAAGATTAAACTGAATCATGCTGAAGAAACATTTGTCGAATACATATATGACACATTAGCGCCTCTTCTCCTCCGTTAATGTTCCAATGGTCAATATTGATTTTCAATTCAAGGCCCTGCAAACTGGAAAACGATTTTTACTCATTCTGCAATTCCCCAATCACTGTATCCAGCTATCAATTGATTAGCAAGGCACTTAATGTCCCTCACAATGCCTACGTGTACTCTCTCTGAAACCTTCAATGCACATGACAGAGCAGTAATGAAACACAGTACTTCATTAGGAAGTATTTATGGTACCATCTTGCATCGCATGTGAACAAAAAGGATTAACCCAACGAGGTTAATAGCATGTAAAAACGGAAATGAAAACTTACCTAGACTGTAGGGGACGTGAACATTAATCCTTGTTGCTATCCGCTCTCCAGAGGGAGGGTCAAAGCAGTTGCCACACGTCCGCAGATCTGTTCACTTCACGGCCGACTACCTGCAGCGAACAAGATAACACAATTTGAGGACACAATGGAGAAATAATGTTATTTTCGAGACCTGAGGACACTGTAAGCTAAGGGCAGCAGGGGCGAGAACGGTGTGGCAAAAATCCAGTTGAATGACGAGCTTTTTGGAAATGATTCATTTCTCTGATGGAAATTTGACATTTGAGTAAATGTTTGAATAGTGATGTAATTATATATACATACAATCACGATCATGCTTGAAACATCAATAGTTATTTGCATTAAATACATTGTAAGCTCGCGTGATGAGGTATTAGCTGTTTATCGCGTCCAGAATTACTTTTATAGCAACTGGGTATTAAATAATGATCGATATTGACATATTCCATAGCAGTCCACAGCGTATAATGGGGGAATTTAGTTTAATATCTACTTTTTCAGCCAGCAATCCTTCCAAGAGCTGTTGCTCCAATAGCTTAATAACGCTTGTATAGTTGATAATCATACCGAAACGTAAAAACGTCGTCATTCACACGGTATTACACGCAGTATAATGGGTAGGAAACACAATGTAAAGCGAGGTTATGGTGACCTCACAGAAATGCACCCTTGCATCACGAAATACCGAACATCATCGCCGGATATGCAATAACACCAGGAACCCGACCCACAAAGCAATCTTAGCGCTGTCAGTAAGTGTCATATTTATTTATTTATTGTTTGTTTGTTTGTTTGTTTAACGCCGCACTCAGCAATATTCCAGGTATATGACGGCGGTCTGTAAATACCCGAATCTGGACCAGAAAATCCATTGTCTGACATCAAGAGCATCTGTCTACGCAATTGGGATACGATGACATGCATCAACCGAGCCTGACAACCCGATCCCGTTAGTCGCCTCTTACGACCAGCATGGGTTGCTGTAGACCAATACTAACCCGGAATCTTCACGGGAAGCGTTTAATTTAACGCTGCTGAGAACAATATTTCAGTTATATCCTAACGTGTCAGCTTGATGTGGCAAGAACGCCCGAAGTAATGCTGATGTTGTGCGTTTACCATTTAGGTGAAATCTAGCACGGGGTGGTTCTGTTAAACCTAGAAAAACATAATCGGGGCGAACCGGGATTCAAACCCAATATCATAGGCCTAGGTTTCTCGCAAAGCAAAAGCGATGCAACCCTGCACAGAAGAGCGATGTCTGTGTTAAAGTGCAAGAGGCACGTTCATCTGCAGAGCGATCGCTTATTCTATTAGTCAGCGAGCATCCAGGACTGTGATTTGTTTCATAATTAATGAATGACCACTCTAATCGCATAAGACATTGAGGGTTTGACGAATACGAAATACTTCAGCAATATGATAGAGTGAGTTGCTGGGAATGAACTTCAATAAATGATTATGTATAGAAAATTGAATCCGGGTGTTGGACGCCGAACATTAACGCTTAACCACTGTGTTGTCCAACCACCGAAGCGAGACAATTCCAAATTGATCAATTCTTTGGCGAAGACCACGTATAACTGGTACTGACACACGTGACATCTACCCTGGAAACTGTTACATATACTACTGCTCAGAAATAACTACCTCTCTCCGGCGCTACTGTATCGGAAACTATCACGGCACTTTCTCAAAACCTTTGTAGAATAGTCGCGGTACGATTACATTATTACTAAATAGCCCTAGTAACAACCGCGGTACGATTACATAATTACTACACAGCCCTTGCAACAACCGCGGTACGTTTACATAATTACTGCTCTACCCTTGCGTAAATGCCGCGGTACATTTACCTAATTACTGCACTACCTTTAAGTGACTGCAGAGGTACATTTACCTAATTACTTCACTACCCTTAAGTGACTGCAGAGGTACATTTACCTAATTACTGCACTACCCTTAAGTGACTGCAGAGGTACATTTACCAAGTCACTGCACTACCGTTAAGTGACTGTCGCGGTACATTTACCTAATTACTGTACTACCCTTAAGTGACTGCAGAGGTACATTTACCTAGTCTCTGCGCTACCTAACGTGACTGCAGAGGTACATTTACCTAATTACTGCACTACCCTTAAGTGACTGCAGAGGTACATTTACCTAGTCTCTGCGCTACCTAACGTGACTGCAGAGGTACATTTACCTAATTACTGCACTACCCTTAAGTGACTGCAGAGGTACATTTACCTCATTACTTCACTACCCTTAAGTGACTGCAGAGGTACATTTACCTCATTACTTCACTACCCTTAAGTGACTGCAGAGGTACATTTACCTCATTACTTCACTACCCTTAAGTGACTGCAGAGGTACATTTACCTAATTACTGCACTACCCTTAAGTGACTGTCGCGGTACATTTACCTAATTACTGCACTACCCTTAAGTGACTGTCGCGGTACATTTACCTAATTACTGCACTACCCTTAAGTGACTGCAGAGGTACATTTACCTAATTACTTCACTACCCTTAAGTGACTGCCGCGGTACATTTCAATAATTACTGCACTACCCGGCGTGACTTAACGCGGCACGTTTCCAGCGCTACGCTTGCGGAAATAGCGTAGCGTACCGCCGATCTCGCAAAACATATAATCACGAACGTTTCCCATAAAAGAGGAAAATACTTTTGATCAGAGGTGTACACTATTGTTCCACGTTCATTGCCATTTTGTAAACGTTTGGTGTGATATGTTACGTTATGAAGCCGACACTATGACCAAAGATACCACAGTGACAAAGATAATGTCATTATGTGAACCGAAGTGGTCCATAATGGCATAGTGACCGCAGTAATTGGTATACTCCCGTAATCAAATAAAACTGCACATCACTATCGCAGTTGAGGTGACGTTGAACAGAGACGCTGCCATCTCTGTCTTCATTATTGGTTATGACCGTGAGTGTTCCTATTTAGTGTGTCTCGAGACAATTTACTATGTAATGTCATATAGTGATGCTGGTAAACATGTCATGCAGCTGAACACTCTACAATCGGTGAATCACATAATATTCTCTGGCGCTTGGAAAGTGCAAAGTAAAACCAATACAATGTGTTTGGAGCAATGCTGGTTCATGTTAGATGCCATTTACAATATTGAAATGTTTGAATCAAGTAGGAATTGAGTGTGTAATGTAAATAATACCTGCAGAGGTGTTCTCACAGCTGTTTACAGTATGTTCCCGTTTACTTTGTAAGGCAAGATTCAGACATGTTTGAATCAAGTAGGAATTGAGTGTGTTATGTAAATAATACCTGCAGAGGTCCTCTCACAGCTGTTTACAGTATGTTCCCGATTACTTTGTAAGGCAAGATTCAGACATGTTTGAATCAAGTAGGAATTGAGTGTGTTATGTAAATAATACCTGCAGAGGTCCTCTCATAGCTGTTCACAGTATGTTCCCGATTACTTTGTAAGGCAAGATTCAGACATGTTTGAATCAAGTAGGAATTGAGTGTGTTATGTAAATAATACCTGCAGAGGTCCTCTCACAGCTGTTAACAGTATGTTCCCGATTACTTTGTAAGGCAAGATTCAGACATGTTTGAATCAAGTAGGAATTGAGTTAGTTATGTAAATAATACCTGAAGAGGTCCTCTCACAGCTGTTAACAGTATGTTCCCGATTACTTTGTAAGGCAAGATTCAGACATGTTTGAATCAAGTAGGAATTGAGTTAGTTATGTAAATAATACCTGAAGAGGTCCTCTCACAGCTGTTTACAGTATGTTCCCGATTACTTTGTAAGGCAAGTTTCAGACATGTTTGAATCAAGTAGGAATTGAGTGTGTTATGTAAATAATACCTGAAGAGGTCCTCTCACAGCTGTTAACAGTATGTTCCCGATTACTTTTTAAGGCAAGATTCAGACATGTTTGAATCAAGTAGGAATTGAGTGTGTTATGTAAATACTACCCGCAGAGGTCCTCGCACAGCTGTTTACAGTATGTTCCCGATTATTTTGTAAGGCAAGATTCAGACATGTTTGAATCAAGTAGGAACATGAAAAACGACGGAAACAATAATTAGAAACCCAAAAGTTCCAATCGATTCGGGTGTTACTCGGCCATACTTTACTTCAAAGTATTACGACGCGTCGTGACATCATGTACTAATCAGGTAGTGGTGTGACCACCTTCTTCGTCGCTGCTTGTATCAGATACCATGTAGCTTCAATCAACACTCTACAATAATTTGAGAAATAAATGTATATGCATATTTTTTAATATAAACAGTAAACTACGGTTATAACGAACACGCTTATAACGAACTGACGGATATAACGAACTTACTTTTTGGTCCCGACTATTAGCTGTATTTATGCTGTATATATGCTTATAACGAACTACGGCTATAACGAACTAAAATTAGTAGTCCCTTTGAGTTCGTTATAACCGTAGTTTACTGTATTTAGAAACTATTTTGTTTACGAGATAGAAATGGTGTATTTTCATGTTTTAGGTCACGCGTACTAACCCAGTACTACAGGGACATGCTCATAAAATAAATAGTTTGTTTGAGTTGATTGGTATATAAATTTTCTTACAGCGAGGGCCACACTATAATAACGTTGGAGTTTGCGATGAAGCGGAAATCAAGATTTAATCATATGAGTATTGGTTTAGGTACAAGTAATCAAAAATGACATTAACGGACAAAACAAGATTTTCAATTATTAAATCCTAAATGAGACTACGCATTCTTACATTAACTTTCGATAACTAATATTATTACATGGTATGATAAAATCTATTTAAGGAAACGCAATCACAGAATATGTTGCCTACGCGAAAAAGAGATTCACTGAGCAGGTTCTGTTGAGATATAGCTGAAAAGACTCTGTTGAGATATAACATTTGAAAAAAAGACGCACGTGCAAATGATTATACATCTGGAGTATTAACGCCTCGTGAAGTCTTTTGCAAAGAAAACAAAATAGAATACACCACATGGTTTCGCTGGCGACTGTGACACACATAGCTCAGTCATAAGGGACTGGTGTGTACTTTCATGCAATGCTGTGTGA